ATCTGATCGAGAAATAAAGGGCACACTTGTGATAGCTCATTGTCTCAGCTACAACATATCCGAAGCTCAGCGAAAACGAAGCTAAAACAACGGAGATTTTGCTCGCGAAAGACAGGAGTGTAGAATCCAGTTTTGAGAAAAAGTCATGTCCCATAGAGAATACACGCAAAATGCGAAAAATTGACATGCCTCCTTTAATCGCAAAAATATACCATGATACTTTTGTCAAAAATAAAAATTGTGAACATTACATTTGTAGAAAATTGTCTCAGCTAGAACATATCAAAATTAAAAAGAAAATTGATCCATATTTACAGAGATACAATCAATTTTCCAAAAATATGCTGACGTCATAATATGCAAATTAAAATTTTGAGTTTGGAGGCCATTATGATGACGTCATGAGTTAATTGAGGATCAAATGAGACATGAAATCATATCTCCGACTCATAATCTATCCAAATATGACAAAATATTAGGAGTTTCTATCTATTCTAAAGAGTTACAATGAATTTTATATAGGCATGTTTTTGCCCATGTATTGTGGATAAAGATAACGCAAATCCGCGCGTGCAGTCAACTTTGACGGACGCTCATTGCGTTAATAAAAGGTGAACAAATTATCAAAATGCTTGGAAAAATGTACCGAATATGATGACAGAAAAAATTCGGCGATTCTATTTTGCAAAATGCCAGTACGCGCGAAAACGCGCGCGCATGCGCGTGTGCGTATTTTTTTTTTCAAATGCTCCATATGGCCTGAAACGTATGCAAAAAAAATTTGGGATGATTTAGAGCATTTTTAATTTTTGCACGCGCGTAAACGCGCGGACGAACGCGCACGCGTGCATTTGCGCACGTTAATTGACCTGAAATTGACCGGACTGATATTGATCTTAATCGTGATAATTATGAATGAGAAATACTTTTCCGTTATGAAGATATGATCATAAGTTGATTTTCACAAAATGGCGCCTGGATGACGTCACGATGAGTTTGAGTTTTTGAAAAGTCACGCAGTTCTAAGTTAGGCTAAGATCTATCATCATGGCAAGTTTCATGATAATGGCTTTAGCCATTCTTGAGATATCCTGCGAACAAAATTGAGGAAGAATAATAATAATTTCTTCTATACAGACACAAAATAAATACTAGACTTTAATTCGTCACTTAGACGAATTAGGTGATACGTATGATAATGGTCTATATAACGAATAATGCATTACACGATATATTATTTTGTAAAATGCTTCTCCCATTCATATGCTTCTCCCATTATGATCTATTCATATGTCAAAATTAAATTGTGTCTCCTTGATCATCATGGATCTAGGGAAGATAGATTGAAACAATATATGACCTTTGACCCTGTGCAGTAACCAGTTACACATTTGACTCTAATTTACATCATGAAGAACACCTTTCGACGATTTTTATCTTATTCAAAGAAATGAAAATGTAATTGATAAATGATTATCATCATTATGATAATGATGATCATGATGATCATGATCATGAGCGCGATCATGACATCTTATTGAAAAAATGAGGGTTGATTTAGATAGTATATAGTCTCAGCTACAACATACTCAAAAATCAACAAAATCCAAGCCGAAATAACGGCGATATTGCTCGCAAAAGACAGGAATGTAGACTCCAGATTTTAGAAAAAGTCATTTCCCATAGGGATTACACGCAAAAAGTAATGGATTAAGTGAAAATAGGGTAATAATGAAGTAAAAAGGGTTATTTATGACATTATTCGCGAATCTACGTGTTTAAATAATCAAAGGAGATGGTACAGTGAAGGTCAAAAGGAAAAAAAAAAGTGGGAAAAAAAGTGTTGGAGACACCCGGACTCGAACCAGGGATCTCGAGGTTGGAAGTCAAGTGCGTTACCGATATACCAAAACATCTCCCATAGCGATTACACGTAAAGGGGAAATGGAATTCAGAAATCCTACTTTGCAAGTGAAATATGAGCATGATCCCGGCATCTAATCAAAAAATAAAAGGCACACTTTTGTTAGCTCATTGTCTCAGCTACAACATATCCAAAGCTCAGCGAAAACTAAGCTAAGACAACGGAGATTTTGCTCGCAAAAGACAGGAGTGTAGTATCCAGTTTTGAGAAAAAGTCATGTCCCATAGAGAATACACGCAAAATGCGAAAAATTGACATGCCTCCTTTAATCGCAAAAATACACCATGATACTATTGTCAAAAAAAAAATTGTGAATACTACATTTGTAGAAAATTGTCTCAGCTAGAACATATCAAAATAAAAAAGAAAATTGATCCATATTTACAGAGATACAATCAATTTTCCAAAAATATGCTGACGTCATAATATGCAAATTAAAATTTTGAGTTTGGAGGCCATTATGATGACGTAATGAGTTAATTGAGGATAAAATGAAACATGAAATCATATCTCCGACTCATAATCTATCCAAATATGAAAAAATATTAGGGGTTTCTATCTATTCTGAAGAGTTACAATGAATTTTATATAGGCATGTTTTTGCCCATGTATTGTGGATAAAGATAACGCAAATCCGCGCGTGCTGTCAACTTTGACGGACGCTCATTACGTTAATAAAAGGTGAACAAATTATCAAAATGCTTGGAAAAATGTACCGAATATGATGACAGAAACAAATCGGCGATTCTATGTTGCAAAATGCCAGTACGCGCGAAAAAGCGCGCGCATGCGCGTGTGCGCAATTTTTTTAATCAAATGCTCCATATGGCCTGAAACGTATGCAAAAAAAAATTGGGATGATTTGAAGCATTTTAAATTTTTGCGCGCGCGTAAACGCGCGGACGAACGCGCACGCGCGCATTTGCGCATTTTTATTGACCTCAACTTGACCGGACGGATATTTATTCTAATCGTGATAATTATGAATGAGAAATACTTTTCTGTTATGAAGATATGATCATTAGTTGATTTTCACAAAATGGCGCCTGGATGACGTCACGATAATTTTGACTCTCTAAAAAGTCACGCAGTTCTAAGTTAGACTAAGATCTATCATCATGGCAAGTTTCATGATAATGGCTTTATTCAGTCTTGAGATATCCTGCGAACAAATTCGAGGAAGAATAATAATAAATAATAATAAATAAATAAATAATAAAAATCTTGACGAAATCAAAAGGTGATACGTCTACGTACGTATCACCTAATAATAAAAATCTTGACGAAATCAAAAGGTGATACGTATATTTCATACGTATCACCTAAAAAAAAAGTATTTAAAATACAGCTGGATCAATGCTCCAGACACAGAGAAACAGGTCAACATTTAATTATACAATCTGTTCTGTTGGTATAGTAATGGTAATGATTTCATGTGTTCAACCTTCAACGTGTGAATCGGTGGAAATGAAATCGAATACCGGTACACCGAACACCGGTAAGTCATGAAGAAGGATAAATGATATTGGAAACTCTTCAGTCGTTAATTTAGTGGTACTTTGTTCAGCTTCCCCCCCCCCCCCCCACACACAGGCATGACTGAGAAATGTAATGGTAATCCGGGTTAATGTTTAAACGCACCATTGATACCCCTAAAAGTATGTGATTTATGACAATTTATTACCATTCATTCGTATGTTTTGTGTCAACTAAGCGCTACAAAGGTATCGTTTTCAAGGGAAGGCATCCATAGGATTATGGCCCTATCCTACCAGATCATATAGAGACATAAAATATCATTGATGATGGTGATCACTGTAGATTTTAAACCATTCATGTAATGTATTCATGTAATGTATGTTTGTGTATAGACAACCCCCCCCCCCCTCCACATTCACAAACCTGTAAATGAAATGAATCTAACTGTATGGGGAAATTTATCAACGTTTGTTTGCCTCCGTTGGACAGCCCAAGATGCGGTAGGGCCTCATGGTCATTAGACTATCACATCATTTTCAGGATAAAATTCACTTTGTGGAAATTACAATACTAGTCAGGAGAAGTGATATTTCTTTCCTTTCTTTGCAAAAATATACAAATGTCAGCATGAAAGACCACAAATGAGTGATAAGGAGAGCAATGAAGAAAATGTATAATGTCTAGGATTATCCAAATAAATGTGGTTTGACTTAAAGGCTCTCCTCTCTAGTGGGGATTAATCATAGACATATCACCTATACATACAAAAATTAAAATGTTGTCATTCAAGCGAATTAATATATATCCCTGTTAAAGGACATCTAATAATAAAGAGAGCACAGAGATTATGGGGATTAGAGAGTAATTCAGAAAATAGAAGGAAATGGGGAGAAAAAGTACACAAGAAAAGGAACTTTTGGTCAAGGAAGAGAAGAAAGCTGGGAGAGAGAGAGAGAGCATGCGAGTAAAAATGTAAGAAAGCTGCTTCGTTGCTTCACTAACCTTTGAATCCAACTCTCGGCCAAGTAAGTCTGGAAAACATTCTTCACCTGCAATCTTTACCCCATCGTTAAAAACTTTCAACTGACGGGCACATGTTCGATGGCAAAGTGTATCTATCATATCCATTGTTAATGGTCCAATATTGCTGCCAAAAGATAACGTCCTCTGTGCCTGTTGAAAAGAAGAGGTTCTGGTTTATTATTTTAAAAAGCCCTGAAGGGCATACCATGACATCGCCCACATAGTTAGCACAAAAATCTAGGTACATGTATTGGCAAAATTTTAGATGCTGCTTGTTAAAGTATAGGCTTGCATGGTGATGTAGATATACAGAAGGCTTGCGGGTGCACCATGTGAGAGAGAGGGAGGATTGAGGAGTCCTAAAAAGGACTCTCAGTAATCTTTCTTGAGGGTTTGCAGTCCTGAAAAGAACTGTTGGTATAGTCTTGAAAAAAGACTGTTGGTTATCTTTCTTAGCTTATAGTTCTAAGGAGAACTATAGCGCTTGGAGAGGATGAGTGGCGGGAGTGGCTTGACATTTCGAACAGGTTGACTATCCGTCGTCAGGAGTGGAGAATAGCTAGCTTGCGTGAGCTTAAGTCACCGGGGTGCGGACGTCGGGTAAAAATCCACGACCGTGTGGGCTTGAGTCATCTGGGAGTGGACATGGATGGTCTGCTTGTCCGTCTGGCTGTCCGTCTGGGCTGGAGTCTCCGGCTTGCGGACTTGGGGGATTTTCAAATCCATGATGAGTGGGGCGGCGTTGTAATCTGCGGTCGTCTGCTGTGCATTGTAGCTGTGAGACTGGCCGCTGCTTTGAGGGTTCGGCGGGTGGCGGTGGTTGACGTACGGGGGTCTGCGGGGGTGGTGAAGGCGGTGTTGGAGGTGGTGATGGAGGAGGTGGTGGAGGAGGAGTGACCGGGTACTTGTTGATGAGGGGTTTCCAGATGTCGTTATGTATAATCCTGAGTCTTGGGGCACTATAGTTCTCCTTAGAACTATAAGCCAAGAAAGATAACCAACAGTCTTTTTCAAGACTATACCAACAGTCCTTTTCAGGACTACAAACCCTCAAGAAAGACTAGTGTCCTTTTCAGGACTCCTCAATCCTCCCTCTCTCTCAAATGGTGCACCCGCAAGCCTTCTGTATAATATTTTAGATGTATTCCCAAATACAACCAAGCCTGTTTGTATGGTAACTGAAATAGGGCTTAGTTTCATTTAAACTTCCAATTAATTTATCTTATGACAATGAAAGTTTTGTCAATATGGTTGAACATGTTTGAGGTTGGCCAAATTTTATCTAGGTATTTGTATTTTGAATCGGACATGATTGACACTTGATATTTGATACATGTGAACTTGGTCTTTCCCGATATCCTCTTCCATTTGCGCTGTACAAGAAATAATAAATTTCCACTTTCTGAGTTGCTGATGAAAGAATTTCTTTTCATACAGGCTTTGTGTAGAAACATGTGCAATTACTATATGTCTTTATAGAAAATATATTTTAAGTACATAGCAAATGGGAGAGGACCTCGCAAGAACCTTCGTAGCGATGTCAAACAAACATTCTTGAATTTGTTTCTCTCAATTTCCTGCTCTTATCAAAAACAACAGAATACCAGGGTGAACTTCTCTTTAAGTATCATATTTTCACTTTAGAAAATTCTTTCCAACATAGTCGATATGACAAAGACATTTACCGTGTCATGTTGAAGTGTTATTTTCATCCTGTTCTCAGTATCGCTAGTTATTTGTTCAGCGAGGGGGTCCAGTTCGTCATCCGTAAAACAGCTAATGATACTATACAAAAGAAGTATTGAAGGAAAGTACATATTTAAACATTTTGAATCACTAAATGTTTAAATGAATTAAAGAAGAATATAATATTATGTGATATAACATATTAGAATATTATATTGTGATTCCTTCCAAACAGGCTACCATCTACTGAGGGGATTGTTTTAATGTTTTTTCTAATAATAGTTTTCGTCTAGGTTTCAAACAGTATAGACAATTATCGATTAGTCTATGATTTCAAAACAACAATAGTATTAAATGTGAAATAAAAATCCCATATATTATAAATGTTCCAGGTGGCTATGTAGCGATGAACACCAATCGCAATGGTTTAACTCATTCGTGGCAATAGTTCTCAAAAAACGATCGCACGCGATGCTCTTCAAAGAGGCAATCAAGCTTTCAAGGCCAGGAATACAACATTCACTGGCGGGGAAATGCATTTTTGTGAGGGATAAATCTTTTGCTAAATGTCTATGATTTACATAAAATAAATAGAAATAAAATGTTTATGAACCATTCTTCACTAAACTTTGACTGTCTCAAAGTGTAATTATGTGTATTTTTATTCAGAAATATCTTTTGTCCATGTATTGCTTATCATGTATGGATGGACATGCCCTTTGTGATAGTCCGGGAATAGGCCACACTCCTAGACAATGGGTTTTGGGCTCGTCGGTTAGGCACAAGGGGTGTTTAGAAATAATAGCCCCAAAATAAGGAATGGAGTCAGACAAAGTCATGTATTGAAAAATGTGATATTTCCTTGTATTGATAACATATTACATTTGTTATTTACACCAAAATTGCAGTACTCAAATTTTCCGCTAGTCTTTTGTTTTATTTCTTAGTTTAAAATCCCCCCCCCCCCCCCCGCACGAGAGATATAGCGTGGGAAATAGCGTGAGAGATATAGCGTGGGCTTAGCGTGGGAAAGTCTGAACGGATGGGGCTACTTGACATGACATGACACATCGTAGAGGAATTGCAGTAGACTGCCAAGCCAGTCATTGTTTGTAATTAGCTGAACAAAATATTGTTTGGTAATGAGAAATAATGAGTTTGGGTAGGATTTCACAATATCAGAACTAATTCATAAATAACTGTTGAATATCTAAAATCTGAATGACGATGAGCCTTTATTTCAAAAGGGGAAAACAGCAACAAATAAATTGAACATTATGATGGGCTTATAATTGTAAACTACTGCAGTATGTGTTGCCTAGTAACCAAAGACATGGACAGAGGAAGGAATGAAGGTTCAGTTCATCAATCAACATGTGGGACCCCCCCCCCCTCCCACGTAAACAAATACTAATGTTACATATATATGTTATATATATGTTGAACAATTTGAATCCCAAATTGTGTATCTTTATTCCATGATTTACAGAAAAAAATACATAGAACAAATTTTTATAAGCTTATAATTACTGGCAAATACTAATATGCTGCATGAAATTTCTACCTAGAAAGAACAATGGGGGGGGGGGGTTTATAGAAAAGGGAGAATCTTGTCTTTATTTGGTGTTAAAGATACTATGTCCCATTTGCAGCCAACATCAAATTCTGTAGAACTTTGCAGGATTTATGAATATGTCATGTATGTCCTATCTGTGAGATTTAAACGTTAGCAGTGTCCTAATATTCACATTATGCAAGGAAACCTGTTTACCTTCTAGATCTCACTGTCAGACACTATTGAGTGACTGACTGACATTTTTGTTTGTATTAATAAAATACATAAGATGAGCTGTAAAGGGTACATGAGCATTTGTCTACATCAATAACCCGCTTCTTGTAATGGTCAAAATTAAACTGATTGAATATTTTTGCAGCACAAAACGTACAACCATTTGGTACAATGGTCTGAAAATCAGACTATTACTTACTGTATTGGTATCACTTATGTCGATTCGTCAACTAATAGTCGTTAATTTCCCACTTAAAGACATGCTCAAGCCCCCCCCCCCCTTTTTTTTAGGGAAGTTCTAAATTAGTATTATCTTTTAAATGCTTTAGGCATTTATCCTTTTTATTTTTTGGTCTGCAAATGGGACATAGTACCTTTAAATCCATTTGAAAATGTACAAGTTGATGTTATTGCTTCTCTATTGAAATAATTGTTTACATTGTGAATTTTACATCAGAAGCGCAATTTGATTTATCCCTATCACTCTTCAAAATGCTCAAGGGGTTACAATTTTACAAACAATACTTGTTTATATGCAGTTTCAAAATAGCCCGGGCTGTATAGGGTTATGTCCCTTTCACTTTAGCACTGACCCTTGAATTAATTCTGATGGACACAAATTCAATGATGTTAGAAGCAGACAACTCTTATCCTTTAACAAGGGAAACGCTCTCGGCGGTCTCGCCTGCATTACGCAATTCGATATGATGACAAATTGAGGTCGGGACATTATTATAGGCAGGGTGGATGGCCTATTAGCAGGCCCCCAAAATTGAAATCCTCTGTACATAATCAGCATTTTGAAGTGAATATTTACAAAGAATCATCCGAAAAATTATTTACTACTACAGTGTATACATGTATGAGGCTACTGGAAATGTGTACATTAATGCACACAAACTAAAAAAGAAAAAAAAGAATCATGTAGTACCTTTTGGAACTGAGCTCTTCATATATTCCAAAACCACAAGTTGGTCCATATACATGTACATTGGCACACTGTGTGTGCGTCCTGATAAATTTCTAAAACAAATTTTCAATTACACAGAGGCTCTTTTAATGCATTACGCAATTCGATATGATGAAAAATTGAGGTTGGAACATTATTCACAGGCAGGGTGGCCCATTAGCAGGCCCCCAAAAATGAAGTTCTCTAAATATAAACACATTGTGAAGTGAATATTTACTAAGAATCATCAGAAGAATTATTTACTATTAAATGTACCACGATCGATAACTTGAATGAAATATGAACAAATTATAAAAAAAAATAAACAAAAAAATTATTAGTTCTCATATTAAGTTGTGAAAACATAATCCAAGTCTACTGACCTTTGACAGTGTGACCTGGAATTTGTGTCATGTGATTTGTGATACTTGATAACCCTTGGGTACAAGTTTCATGGAATTAGAACAATCAATTTTGAGAATATGCTAAACATTCAAAATCTTGTTGATGCCACATCAAAGTCTAAGTTTGTTGACCTGAAATGACCTTTGACCTTGACTTTGGAACCTGAAATCTACTCACATGACAGGGCATACTTGATAATCCTATAGTCCAAGTTTCATTGACTAAGAACTTAAACTTTCAAAATTATATCAAAAATTCAAAAACTTAACCTTAGGTTAAGTTTTCGATGATGATGCCACAACATAGTCCAAGTCTGTTGACCTGAAATGACCTTTGACCTTGACTTTGTGACCTGAAATTCTACTAACATGATTGGGGGTACTTGATAACCCTACATGCCAAGTTTCATTGACTATGAACTTATACTTTCAAAATTATATCAAAAATTCAAAAACGTAACCTTAGGTTATGTTTTTGATGTTGACGCCGCCGCCGCCGCCGCCGCCGCCGTCACCGTCACCGGAAAAGCGGCGCCTATGTCTGTTGTATGTCCACTTGGAACTACATCAACATGAGATATGATATGTAAATACCACGCCGAGCTAGGCGGAAGGATACATAAATAAAGGTTTCTTACAATATGGCTACTAATCAGTAACTACATCGTCTGCCAGACTCTATCATTTCACCGAGTCATATAACTTATTACAACATGGTGGCAGCGGTGGGATTTAAAATTTGCTCATACAAAGAACTTTGCTGGGCAGAGCTACTGAACAACTCTATGGCAGCGGTAAGGAGAATACCATGCTATTATTCGATAATCGGACATTAGCTACCGCAGTTTTCCTTGACTTGGACTATAAAGAAATGAGAACTAGCTGCTAAGTAGAAGTTTGGTCGTCGACAATTATTGCCAACATCGATGTTCCCGCACTGCACCCCACAACCTATCGTCTGCATTACCCGGGTATGAGCCACCGAGCCTCCGCAAATGCCGAATAGCACTGGGAACTGTCTTTCCCGCATAATGTAGCACTGATCGCTACACACAACAGACCGAGAGAGATATAACGACAGTGAATGGAACAGCACCCATCGGTTTTCTTATCCGTGATCAACGCGGATGATGACGCGACCTGCTTTCATCAAACTCAAAGTCAAAATAATCTCAGCAGCAGCTAGCAACAGCTACCTTAGAATAGATCGACGTCGGCCTGATCCATTATCGGTTCCAGCTCTTAGATCGACGTCGGCGTGAATCTACAAGCATGGCCTTTGACTTTGTAATATAGTCTAGTCTAGAGTCTAGGCCTAGATGGGACCAGATCACCGATCCAACGCTTCATCATCGTCGCATAGACAACAGGACTGAGGCCTGATCCATTATCGGTTCCAGCTCTCATCGCCGTTCATGCGACATCGCACAAGCAAATGAAGCTGTGATTGTGTACTCTTTGTTTGTAAAGTGATTCGACATTTGTGACAAGACAATTCAAGAAAGACAAGGCTCTAAATCTGACTTTGTTATAGAGTATAGACTATCCACATCTGGAACATCCTGAAGGCTGAACAAAATAACAAATGACAATAAGAACAGATTGCAGGGAGGTATCCTGTGATAGGTTTACTGTCTGATAATTCAATTGATCATGATGTGATTGTGAATATGTTTTGCCTTTGTTGAGTGAATAGACCCTAGGCTTAGACTCTATGCAAATTAATATTAGCCTAGATCTAGAACGATATCCGTTTCATGTAACTTAGCCTGGGTCTAGACAGGTGTATCTGGCATAGGGAGTCTAACAGTAAGGCGCCTTGGATTAATTCGAGTGGCAGTAAACACGCGGCTTATTAACCTGAG